ATCTCAGAAATACGGCCCTCACAGTGACAACGTTGGGCGTCTGGTGGGTCTCATCTGGAACCATGGGAATGATAGCAAACCCATGTGCTGCAGGTACATGTGCACGCAGTATACAACTACGATCGAAACTGCGGTATACGGTGAAGACATCTTGAAGGTTTCAAATGAAATTTATGTCTGCATCAACTTGTTAAGGATTATGCATTGTAGAGGAGCCGGGTAGAGTGCGGATTTCAGCGCTCTTCGGTGCAGACTAAAATAATCCTTTCAAATCCCAATGTAGAAGGGAGGATGCAGGCAGAAAATGACGCCTCCAGTGGATCATACTACAGCAGTCTCTCTTGCAAAGAACAACACAATCTTCCGTCTGCAAGGATTCAATTTTCTAAGTGCTCTACCGCGGTTGCTTCCTTAACTATTTTTGTGTGATACAACAGATAGTTAAGGAAACACTCACGGCAGCGCGATGCAGGATCTCTCCCAGTCTTGGACGCATCAAATTTGTGTGAATTGGCTGTGTATCTGGAACTTTTATGACTCTGTGATTTTCCTGTTACTTAGTGTTGGTTAGAGATATATCTCTTTGAGATATCATGATTCTGGGCTGCAGCTGCTGGATTTAGACAAGTTCCATACTGCCCATTTTTTGTGGAATATCGAAATCAGGAGTGAGTGCAGATGGATTGCCGCAGGGAGTGAGTTGCAAGCAGCAATCCCTCAAATTTCTGACGCTGGCCGGGGGCCCTGACTGTGGGGAGGGATTCGGAGGAGCTACATGCGGAGACAGGTTGGCAACCTTCATCATATATTTGAGGTGAGGACTGTGTGGTGTGTCCGTTTGAAATAGGCTATGCTGACGTGCGCCTTGCGTATTGCAGCTGTGAGGCTGCGCACGGTGCGTGTTGTGCTGTACGGTCAAGCCCAGGAGTTGCGTAACTCGTTGGTGGTGTTCACAGATCTCCTCGACGAGGTGGCCACACTGTCTTCCCCAAAAGTTTTGTGGAGAGAAGAAATGGCCGGGCTACCCTGAGCCAGGAACCTGAAGGCACAACGCCAGTCGACGGCGACCCGTGGTGCTCTTTTGATGGCGTCCTGACGGCATCCCCTGACGCCGGGGACGCCATTCTTTTCTGGTGAGGCCCCGCCCCGAAACACATTGCCTACTCTTATTCCCTGGCATTCTTCTCCGAATGCGCGTCGGTTTCTTCTCTGTGGCCTCTGCTTTTTGCAGTAATGTGACTATTCTGGGGCAAAGTTGGGCATCAACATTGAATATGAGATTCAACAGCCATAGCATTATTGGGACGCCCAACCTGGGGCCACCCTTGCGGGCGGCGCACTTAATATGTGTTCGTCTGGGTAGCTCAGACGCATTTTCTGTTTTTTTTTGGGTGCATTCAGGTGTCCTTCTCTTTTTGGGCGGGGGTTCTGGCTGATAAATGAAATACTCTAGCTCTGGAGCGGAGCCATCCCTCGTTGGCTCTCATGTCTGCACCCCCCCTTCCCCCTTGAGGGTCGGGGAGTTGCCCATGGCTTGCTTTGCCATGTTTTGGCAAATGCAATCGCAACGGATTTCATAGGCAGCCATAGCCATGTTATTTACATTTGCGTTACGTTTACGCTTTTACGTGTAAAAACGTTAATTTGCAACAGGAGCTATTTTGAAAACATCAGAAGGGCCCCTTCGGACAGGCGGGCTACATAAATTTCAAACTTGTGATAGCAGGCTGACTCACACTTTTTCTGCCTACTCGCACTTGCTGCCAGGAACTACATTCCAAAGCCCGGAATCGACGACCCACTCATATATCATCGCACAGGCAGCCACAAGAACGGAACGATGGACACAGAGGCCGTGCCTGACGAGGAGGCTTTCCATGCGGGCTGCCCAGTTGCCGAAGGTGAAAAGTGGATTGCGACTAGGTGGATCAGGAGTGCAGAATTCCATGAACGGCTGCCTCTGCAAGGCTTATGATCAACGGGATATTGTTACAACTCTTTCTCTGTTGTTCTCTTTAGTTTTTCAGCCGCGACTTGCAAAACCGACATGGCATAAGCTGACTGGTCGAAACAGAAGTTGTTGGTGCGATAGATTTGGCGAGACTGGTGAGGTGACGGGTCTTGAGAGAAGCGCTGCACATCCTATATGCCCAGTGCAGCTTCTGTTGCAAAGGTATGGGAACGGCGCAACTACGGTTGACACAAGGGAGTACTGGTTGCCGTGTGTTCGATATGAGAATGAATTCTGTCTGTGGATGGGATCGGGCATGACCGCGGATCATGGGAGACAGAATGAGAACTCGCATCTTGTCTGCGAGGATGCAGCGAAGTACTGCTCTTGCACTACTGCGCGCGGGCCATCTGGTACTTGGCACAGTTTCCCAACATGAACTCTACAAAAATTCAGCCAAGTAGCATAAGCAGAATATTCTTCGGCATCAACCAACAAATTTGGAGCATGTGCAAGACTGTTCGCTAGTGTACGTATCTTTTGCCTGTGTGTAAATGCACTGCATTGGCAACCTGGGATGTCGTTCATAATCTGAAATATCCAAATCTGGCACATTAGTAAGGACGCATTTGGACACACGACCGGGCTAATGGACTCATACCCAATACCGCCATGCAGCGAGTGGAATCTCGCCCGGGCTATGTAGGGTGGGCTGATTGGCCAGCACAATGCCTTGTGTCTCGCCCACTGTCAACTATGGCAGCACTATTGTGGTGCATTCCGTAGTGGTATGCGCAGCGGAGCCAATGGGCTGCGGCTGGCTGCCCTGGAGCCCAAAGTGGGGATTCCACTGCAGAGTGCGAAGATCATTCCACCAACGTGAAGCGATCCTTTGTGCAAATGTTGCATGTGCCTTGTTAGTGTGGGGGGGCTTGGGTGTGCTTTGGAGTTGGGGCTTGTGTGCATTGTGGGCTGGGGGCTAGGGGTCAGAGCCAAAAGCATCCCCCTGGCGCCAGGGGTTTGAAAATCTTGTGGATTAACACCGGCACGAGCGACGATGATTCTGCCTTGCGATTCTTCAGGTTCAGAGGTTATTGGTTCCAACTTGTCAGCTCTGTATGTCGAATTGACATCGAGGCAGCCATGAACCACGAGACTGCACCAGTGGATCGATGACTTCCTTGCGAAGTGTTGCATTCTGCGAGTGCAGATGATCCTTAGAACATTTTTATCGGTCGTTGCTATTGCACCAGCCGAGCTATCCAGGAACGGTTCTCATTGGCTCCCGTGCCATCTTACTAAGGCGGCATTTGCCTAATAGCACTGGTGCTATTGCTCCTCTGCACGCATCCACAATGGTGGCTGCTATTCCTACGCCGAATAGCATCGTTGCAGCACTACCATGTTCTGCACGAATAGCACCAGTTGCTTTTCTGGGGTGCTATTTGGCCTCGAGCGGTGCTATTCAGGCCCAAAATGGCACCGCTCTGGGCCAAATACCATCGCCGGTGCTATTGCGTTGCTATTGCTCCCCAACCGTTAATGATGTTTTTTCGATGTGCAGTGCTATTTGGATAGCCGAATAGCACCGCCAGTACAATAGCACCCGCCGATAAAGATGCTCTTAGTTGTGGAATATTTCACTAACCACTTCAAGGAAACAAATTAGCCATTGCCTGTGGCCATCTTCCACTCAGGTTGTCAGTGCCACAGCAGCGGCAGAGGGTTTCCAATGGAACTGCGCAGGGTGCGTGGGCAGTGTCGGCCGGCCCGTGCAGTGGCGGCAAGGGTTTGCATTGCTCACGTGGGTAGGAGGGCTTTGAGACAATTTGGTGTTGTTGACCAGGCCATCTTGCCACATTTTCATTTCACAGCGCAGAAACAATGCATCGCGTCATGCGGACGACTTCCAGCGTCGGCGTGACACCAAACGCGTGTTTTCAGACAGTGGAACTGGGGCAAGATTAGTAACGGTCGAGTGGCCACAAGAGTGTGCATCCGATAGCCTGCCAAACCCAACAAACGTCAACTCAAACTTCTTGGAGAGGTACGGCGCCCCAAGGCAACGAGTACTGAAACAGCGCACAGTACCATTATCTTGATGATTTTTGGTCCGATTTGCGTGGTTAGCGCGCCGGTCGAATATTCCCTTGAGTGGGGGTTAGGCATACAATTACTGGCTGCACCAAATCGGTGACTGCTTGCACCAAGTCACGTGCATTTGCGGGGGTGACGCGCGTTCGCGTGATGTCACCGGGCGAGCCAAGGCCATTTCCGCGGTGATTCACCGTCGTCGCCTTTCACCTTGGAATCCATCGGGTCTGACTGACGCTGTGATCGCGTGGCCTCAGCTCCATCCAAAATCTTAGTCAGGAGAGAGGGGCCAGCGCTGGGGGATCCGCGGAGTGGTTCCCCAAAGGCGGGGAGTCGGGGTGAGAGGTAGTCCGTCGGAGGTGGAGGAAGGCCTGGAGGGAGTCGGGAGGAAGTTCAGGTACTCCTTCGGGGATTCTCGCTGATCGTGCGGGAGAACAATGCCCGGGCGATCACCACGCGGGGCCAGCCGCCCGGCACACCTCTCTCGCACAAACCACCAAATCCATAGCTTGCACAATATCCGTGGGATGTTTCAACCCGGCCCCCTGGCGAGCATCTGGCCGTGGAAAGCAGATCTTCTTCGCATTGCCACCGGTTGCACGCCGCGCAGAGTGGCGCGCCCGCCACGCTTGCGGCGCCAGCCGCGAGCGACCGCCGGTGTTCAATTCCAGCTGCCCCTTCACTCGAGGCTCCACGTGCGCCAGCACTGGCTTCCGCGCGCTTCAACCGAACCTAGGGCCCATCGTGGGCCCGGCTGTCCGTGGCTTCTGCCTCTGAACCCCTTTGCCGCTGTCGAACATCACACCTGCCCCCCCGCACCCAACATTGACCCCCGGGGGAACCCTCCACGTGATACGGCCCCCGCTGATGCTCATTTTCGGGATGCCTTCCCACAGGCCGCGGCTGCGGTCCCTAGGGCGACACCCCCGCGGGGTGGGAGCCGCGCTAGCGAGTTATGGGCGCGGTATTGCTGGGCTGGCTCCCGTGGGCCCTGTACCTGAGCGCCCTGTTCCGCTCGGTTTGCGGCGACGTGGCCGGGGATGCCGACGCCGGTGTGAGGAGGGCGGTGACGGACTGCCGGCAGCTGCAGCGGGAGGTGGCCGGCGGGGCGGATCCCGCGGATGTGGTCGAGCTGGGCGGCCACTTCGCCTGCGGTGCTGGGGAGTGGACGGAGACCGTGATCCTGGACCGCGACCTGTTGGTGGTCGGGCGGAATGGGAGCGGGGTGGACTGGGGGGGGCTGGAGGGAGTGTGGGTGGTGGCGCCCGGGGTGGACCTGCGATTCCGGCGGACAAATTTTTTGGTGGACCGGTTGGCCGACGAGTTCAGGCCGCCGTTTTTGGCCCTGGAGGATGGCGCCGCGGTGTCCATGGCGGGCGTCGTGCTCGGCTCCAGGTGCTGCCTGTCGGCCGCGGAGGCGGATGGGGACGCTGCGTGTAGCGCGGGCGCGGGTGACAGGCTCATCGGGCAGGAAAGGGGTGGGGACGCGTGGCGCGTGTGCAGCAGCCTGGTGCGGTGCGGTGCCGCAGACTTCGACAGCCTGAGGGCGATCGAGGGGGCGGCGACGGACGGCTCGTGCGGATCGGCGGCCGCATTGGCGGCGGGGGCGGAGGGCGGGGAGGGCGGGGGCAGCGGTGGGGCGGCGACGGCCACGACGGTCTCGCTGGTCGTGGTGCTGCTGGCGGTGGTCGCCATCGCCGGCGTCGCGGCCCTGCTGTGGTACCGGCGGCAGAAGGGCAGGCAGGCGCCGGCTGTCGAGTTCAAGAACCAGCCCGCGACGAAAGTGAACGCGTTCCTGTCCGTGCCGTCGTCGCTGTCGTCCTTCTCTGGGTCGCACCAGGGCCTGATACAGAGCTCGCCGGTGACGGTGCACTCCATCGACAAGCCCGCGCCGGTGGTTTTGGAGGGGAGCAAGCCGCCGGCCGTGACGTCGAACATCGACGTGGGCGGCATACGGCTGTCGATCCCCATAGGCAAGGGAGCGTTCGCGACGGTGTACAAGGGGTCCTGGGTGGGCAAGACGGTGGCGGTGAAGATACTGCAGCACCCGCCGGACCAGAAGACGCTGCCCGCGAAGAGCATGTTCGAGGCGCAGCTGGGCTTCTCGGTGATGCACGTGAACCTGGTGCACACGCTGGGGACGCAAACCAAGAAGTGCCAAGACGTGAGCATGATCACGCCGCGCAGCAGGTGTGCTGGCATTGCAATGCTTCCACGCAGTCAGGAAGTGTTCCATTGTGAGCGACGTCGCTGTGCGCGCATGAACAACGGCAAAGTGATCGGCAAGGGTGGGGAAATAACTGTGCTGAGACGTACGGGAACGAATCCACGGACCCAGCCGCGCCAGTATTGCAGACTGACGGTTCATGACAAAAGTTTGTGGGTACAGCGTGCCATGGCGTGTTTAAGTGCCTCACTGTGGTGGACGTGGCATGCAGGCTGGCAAGGTCGCCATGGATCAATTCCTTGTGCTGCTCTTTCCGTTTTCTTGCTTTTGTCAACTTTACAGTTGGCACATGTTCCTTGCTCTCGCATGGAATTGGGCTGTGTTGCTGGCTGCTGTTAGGCAGAGTAGTCTGTGAATATTGTGTGCTTCATCCTTGCAGTGCCTGTGTCCTGCCAGCCAGCCCTTAAGCCAGCTGCAAGAGTAGGAAAACGGATTGTAAAAGTTGTAGCGCGGTCACGCAGTGTTGTGCTGCGGGACAATTGACATACCTATTGTGCCCTCCTCCAGCCGGCCTTCTTCCACCAGCTTTGACAAGCCGATGAGCATGGTGGACGATTATCATGGCCAAAGCAGGGCGTCCAGCGACTGCTTCAGTGACATGGCAGATGTCCTCAAAGCGCAAGGGAAAGAAGAATATGAGACTTGGATCGTTATGGAGTACTGTGATCAGGGCTCGCTGCAGGGAGCCATCCAGAGGGGTGCATTTTTTGACGATGCTGAGAAGACGCGGCCACGCATGGTTGATGTTTTGCTCACTGCACTGGACATCGCCAAGGGCATGGAGCACCTCCACTCGTTGTCAATTGTTCATGGTGTGTTCTTATTGCTCATTTTGTTTCACTGGCTTTGTTGTGCCCCAGTGCAATGCCAAGGCAGTTTGATTGATGGGTGCTGTATGTGCTGCCCCTATTGACATTTTGCCTGTGCCAAAGTACTGTGTACTGGTCACCAGAAGTGCGTTTGCAGCCCTCATGTGGTTTATTGATTGTCCCAGGTGATTTAAAGCCTCGGAATGTGCTGTTGAGGACGAAGAAGGGAGATGTGAGGGGATACATCTGCAAAGTGGGGGATTTCGGATTCAGCCGGGCCCTCCTTGACACCCAGCTCGAAACGGCATCGTGTGGGGCAGTGAATTATATGCCACCTGAGCTCCTTGCACAAGGGATCTTGACCCCTGCAGCCGACGTTTACTCCTTTGGTGTGCTGCTGTGGGAACTGCTGGTTGGGAGCAACCCATACCCATCCAAGACACAAAATGAGATCCTTGTGCTTGTGACATCTGGCAGGCGGCCGGCTGTGCCCGCACGCATTCCAGACCAGTATGCAGACCTGATCCAGAGCTGCTGGCACCAGTCTCGTCAAGCCCGGCCGACATTCACCGAGATCAGTGCCACCCTGAGGGATCTGTTGGCCGATCCAAGTATGGAGTGGCACCCATGGCGGCCTCCAACCAGCCATGGCCGTCCACCAAGGAGTGCATCGCAGAATGTCACAGGATTTTCATTCGAGAAACCTCGTGCACCCCCTGATCCATTGCCGAGCCCTGTTTCTAACTCAGTTGTGAGTCCCCTGGCAAGCCCTCTTGCCAGCCCTCTTGATACCCCTCTGCAGAGTCGTCTGGAGAGCCCACGTGGCAGTCCACGTGAGAGCCCTCTTGAGAAGAGCCCTCTTGGCAGCCCAGTTGCTGACAGTTCAGTGGCGGACTCAACTGTGGGGCCTCTGCCAAGTCCCCTCCCAAGTCCCATGGCAAGCTCCGTCTCAAGTTACATGCCAAGTTTCAAGCCGCCTGTCAACCACTCAGATTCTTCTGGCCTTCAAACACCTCCACCCTTTCCCAAAGGTACTGAGGGCTTTTGTGCACTGCTGCACAATGGCAACCTGTGAAAGAACTTGGGTATCAGTAAGAGAGCTCCAATTACCTTTGCCAGGTCGTATTGTTTGTGCCATGAAGCCTAAACCGTGGCAAGGTCTGCATCCCCTGTCACATGTCTTTGGGCCATCCAGAGTGCAACAAATCTACTGTGATCGATTTGGAAATACCGATATGTACCAATGTCCATACCTGTTTTCTGCCACCTCTCACCTTGTAGACTTCAGTGTTTGAAGCTGTGGCACTACGGGATTGGCTGGGGATCCTCCTTGTCTGTCACTGAGTGTCCACATTTGCTGTGAAGCAAGAGCACACTTCATCGTCCCACTCAGCCCTACTCACCATTGCCACACCCAAGCATGGACATTTGTGCCTTTTACTGCGTTTTGGTGTTTGGGTGGTGAAAGTCATCGTCAGCGGCTTGGTGTCAAGTCCAAGAGAGCACCGAGGTGTGGTGTAGTTCAACACATGATTTATGGTGGTCCTCCTGTGGTGCTGGTCAAATCAAGATGCCAGCAAGATAAGGGGGTAATTTGGCACTAGGAAAATGTGCGATTGAGGAAAAAGGGGTGGCTTGGCAACTTCTATTATGCACTTGTTGAAGCATGACGTGACTTGTGCCAGGTCAACCATCAGAGATGGACCATTTGAGTCCTCTGCAGGATTTCGCTCCCACGCCTCTGGACCCTCAGCCTGGGGCTTCGATGGCCTGTGTAACATCGGACAGCATGAAGAACCTGTTTCTCAAGGATCTGGAAATGTCTGCCGGACAAGGTATGCTACCCCAGTTTGATGACTTGCTGGCGACTGTGAAGATCAGCCGGAAACCTCGGATTCCGACGGGAAAGAAAACTGGTCAGAGCAACGGCAGGGAGCACACCAAAGACGCACGGCCAAGGGCCATCCCTGAACATTGGCGCAGAAGGTAGCTGCTTGCCGGGCAAGATGAGTGGATTGAGGATGATGGTCACACAATGTACAAGAGCCCTTAGGAAGCGCGATGCAGGGTTCAGACGACCCAGAAGCAGAGAACTTGCAGAGTTGCCATGCAGAATAAGTGGCGCTCTGCTTCTGTGTCTTGTGGCGCCTGCGCTCATGGCATGTTTGTCTCCGGTGCCTATTCTTTGGAGGGTGCACATGCTTTGACGGTTAGAGTAGGTGTAAACTTTTGAGCGAGCCCTCCTTGGCTCCAGGACACTGCTGACGTGCATGCGCCGTGCAGTGTGCTTGAGCCGCATTGGACATTGTTTGTCTCCCATGCAGAGCGAACCAGCTGTTGCAGTTCAAGCACAGATTATTGGTGTTGGGAATGACGCACCGATTGCAAAATGAGGGTGTTGTATTCGAATTCGAAGGTGGTGGGAATCGCGAAGCTTGAATTCATCTTACCTGTGCTGTGGATGAAAGGAACCAGTTACTTATTTAAAGTGCCACCGGAATGTGCTTGCTTTTGTGTGCTGTTTTTCCTGAGCATGACATTTCGGATCGTCACGGTCTGGGTCCTCTTTGCAAGCGAGCTTTGTGGACAAGATTGTGGTGCATGGGGGATGGCACACGACGCTTGATCATGGAGGGAGATCTTGTATCGATGAGGCACTTGCCTAGTCGAATTGTCTGGCAACCTAGTCCAAGCTCGTGTGTACTTGTCACGAGGGGACAGGTGGCTTTGATTGCCGCCAACCCCCCCAGCACGTGCCACATGTTACAAGTTTGTTCGCAGTTACAATGGGATAGCAAGATTTCACTTGTCATATTTCATGTTTCTTGATAAGAACACTCCCAGTTGGCGTGGTGACAGCCTGGGCTGTGCTGCACTCTGGGGCCAGCATGGTAGGGCAACGGGATTGGAGAGGATTGACACAGGGTCCCTGCCAGCCTAGAATTTGTGTACCGGCTTGCTTCATGCATCCGGAAATAAAGTCAACGGCCCCATCGCCAACATTCTTGCAACTCGTCGATCGCCTGATGGGCGTTGGAGCAGCGAAGCACAAGGGGATCTGCTTTGTGGCTTGCAGTCTTCAGGATATGGTACCAGTTTGGGTGCACAAGGCCTGGGAGTGAAGGGAGCCAATCAGGGAACGTGTTCGCATCCAGATATGGGGGTGGCTGGAGGAACAAGTCCCTGCGATGTCCCCACCGGAAAGGGCCTCTGAGTGGAGCGTTGGTAGAGGGGAAACGCTGACAAACACAAACAGTGGCAGCACATGGTGTGGCGGGCTAGCAGCAATTCGTGGCACCTTGTATGCAACGTGTATCTTTATTCTCATCATCTGGTCATCAGCTTGGTTGCTGTGCGCTGCGCATTCAGCTTGCAGTATCGTGGTGTGCGTTAGCCTTCTTCAAAAGCGCAAACCCAGCTGGAGATGGTGGCCGGCTGCTCATGCCAACCACGATGGAGCTGTTGGCGCTCTTGTGCATATGTATGGTGCTGTGCCTAGGGTGCCTGTGAGATCTAGGCGATATCGACATGTTGAAGTACTGCCGAACACGAGCGCCGTGCTGTGGGTGCATTCTGCTATGCCAGTGGCCGCAGCTTGGACGACTCTCAGTGGCGCTATATATGACCAGGGATTCGAGGCATTACTGCAGGTGCGTTCTCAATTTACATTAATCGTGACTGGGTGCAGCCGTGAGTCGTGCATGGCCCATGTGAACCACACTGCTAGCTGCTGGACTGCTATATAAATTTCTTAATTAACGGAGCTGGTAGTAGCAGAGGCACGTTGTCCGCATCTTGGAGGTTATCGACCATGTGCAGATGCCCACTTCCAGCAGACTGGCAGACAGCCTGCGAAAGCAACAGCCACTTCAGCACACCGCCGCAACCATGTTATGTGGCAAACTGGCACTCGAATTCAGATGCCAGACGGCTTTTCACCTGGGTGAGCATGCAGCCTGCAGTGCGAATGGACAGCTCAGGTCGAACTAATTGGATCATTGAAACAATGCAGATCCATTTCCGAGGAAGCCTCTTGATTGCAGTTCAGCCACAGCAAAGCAACGTGGACCAGGGTACACGCCTGACGACGCTGAAACCGCTGCGCAAGATCGCGCCACTTCAGCAATTTCCCCGAAATATCTGCTCGTTCTCACATGCATGATGACTCATTCTCACACGAAGCCTCCGATCCTAGTACGCAGTGGTAACTCGTCTCGCTATCGCTGTTAGGGTATCTTTATCGGTGGGCGCTATTGCACCGGCGGTGGTATACAGGAGTTCTCATTGGCTGCTGTGCCTGCTTACTAACGGGGTATTTGCCGAATAGCACCAGTGCTATTGCTCCCCTGCGTGCATCTATAACGCAGGGTGCTATTGCGATGCCGAATAGCATTGGGCACAGTTGCAATGTTCTGTGCGAATAGCACCAATTGCTGTTCTGGGGTGCAATGCGGGGCCAGAATAGCACCGCTCAGCGCCAAATAGGGGTGCTATTGGGGTGCTATTGCTCCCCAACCGCTAGAGCATCATTGCCGGGTGGTGCTATTCTCCCGGCAGCGCTATTCGTCTACCCGAATAGCACTGCACGTCAAAAAACCATCATTAACGGTTGGGGAGCAACAGCGCCCTAATAGCACTCTGCAAAGGGCGACGGTCCATTCTGGCCGTCGTCCCCGGAGATAGCGCAGTAAAGTCACCCTCAAACGGGCAGCTGGGCCATGTCGACAGCCTCAGCACCACATCAGTTGAGGGTGCACTCAACGAACAAGCTTTGCCCCTCGCACGAACCGGCTCTTCACGAAGAACTGCTTGGCACGCCGACACGACCAACAAAATAGAGGCGACGGCAAGGGCAAGCTTGAAGCGGGTAGCAAACGTCCAACTGCCAGCCAGCCATGTAAATACGCTTGTAGAACCTCTCACAGCTGCCGCTCTGAGCGCCCCAACCGGTCGCAACTGCTCCTCGACGGTCGACGAAGTCAAAACGGAGGTCAGGTCCACGGGTCAGGGCTGCCTTGTCCACAGCACGTCGGTGTAAGACACGGGAAGCGCTTCTCTCCGCCTCGACAAGGCTGTGCAGCGACGAAGGGTGGTCACTTCTGGCCAGCAGCACGACCGCGCTGGCACTGTTGGTCTTGAGTGGCAAGGAAAGCGGCTCAGAAAAGGCACAGACTGGCCGCGACCTTCGAAAAGGTCGAGCGCTATTGCGCTTAGGCTGTGGCGAACGTTGCGCACACGGCCAGGGGAGTCAGGCAGGCAGGCTGAGTGCCTAGACTACCGCGAGAGGCACACATGAACGCTGCGCAACCGTTCTTACAGCTGCCAGGCCGAGTGCAACAATACAGAGTTCCCACGGCGTTATCCGCACCCCTCTTGGCAAAATACACCCATTCCTAAGATATGCTCTTTTGATACCCGGAATCTTTCTGCCACGCCCACCGCTTCACCACAACTCAACCCAGGACGCCCCACTGCCCACAATCAGCAACCACGTGGTGCCCCAAGGGCCACATTCCCAACAAACAACTGCACTTCCCGCGGTCAGCAACCACGTTATGCCCCACGGGGCATATTCCCATCAAACAAACATGTGGCGCCTCCACGCGCCTCTCCTGGCTCTGTCTCGCCGTGTACCACGGCAAGCCGCCAGGCGGCTGCCCCTAAGCAAACGCACATGTCCAATGGCAACCTGGCTGCTCCTCAGTACTCCAAGGCGTATTTGGGGCATGTTTGACTCATGTGTCTCCGTGTGAGGCGCTACCAAGTATTGACGTTGTGCTCAGCATCTTTATGGTATCTTAGTGAACTCTTTGGGCGTATGATGAAGTCACCGTAGTCTATCTTTGTCATCAAAGTCATCTCCCTGCATTCTGAGCGCTTTGAGCTCGCAATTTGATGATGATCAGTGTGGCGAAGGTGCTGAGGCTGTCGACATCCCCTGTGCACCATATCTAGACCTCACGGATCGCCAGCTGAGTGATATCATGAATGCACTAACTGTTTGATGAGTCCTATTAATTGGCGACCCGAACAATCCCTGATGCTCTTCAGCGCCGAGCGGTGCTATTCTGGCCCCGAGTAGCACCGCTCAAGGCCAAATAGGACCCCACAATAGCACCCGGTGCTATTGGCGTAGAACATTACAATGGTGCAGTGATGTTACTCGGCATCGCAACATCACCCAGCGTTAGAGCATATTTAGAGCATCTTTATCGGTGGGTGCTATTGTTCCGGCGGAGCTATTCAGGAACGGTTCTCATTGGCTGCCATGCCACCTTACTAAGGTGGCATGTGCCAAATAGCGCCGGTGCTATTGGGGAGCAATAGCACCGGGCGTGCATCCGTAATGGTGGATGCCTTGGGGAGCAATAGCACCCCGTGGGCATCCGTAACGGGGGGTGTTATTTGCATGGTTCGACTGTCCCAAGGCCCCTCCGCTGTACTAAGGCCCCTCCGCATTGTTCCAAGCAGCCGCCGCCAAGTGCTGCGCGAATAGCACCGGTGCTATTCTGGGGAGCTATTCGGTCTCGAGCGGAGCTATTCTGGCCCCGAATAGCTCCGCTGGGCGCCGAATAGCTCCGGGGGAGCTATGGGGAGTTATTGCTCCCCAACCGTTAATGATGGTTTTTTGATGTGCAGAGCTATTCGGATAGCCGATAGCTCCGCCGGAACAATAGCCCCAACCGATAAAGATGCTCTAAGAGCATCTTTATCGGTTAGCGCTATTGCACTGGCGGAGCTATCTAGGAACGGTTCTCATTGGCTGCCGTGCCACCTTACTAAGGCGCCATTTGCCGAATAGCACCGGTGCTATTGCTCCCCTGTGCGCATTCGCAATGGCGGGTGCTAAGCCTACGCCAAATAGCATCATGGCAGCACTACAACGTTCTGCGCGAATAGCACCGGAGCTATTCTGGGGTGCTATTCGGCTCCGAGCGGTGCTATTCGGGGCCAAAATAGCGCCGCTCAGCGCCGAAAAGCTGCGGGTGT